GATCAAAGAGAAATCCATTTCTTCCTCTACACCTCATCTCCACTTGTTTTGGGACAAACGTATTGTCTCTCACCTGTATCCATAACCCTTTTGTAACAACCAGTAGCAAAAGAGATTCTATTTACAGAGTGTTTGCTGTATGTGAGGCAGAGTGCTAAATTCTCTAAATATTTTACTTATTTCTTACCACAATTCAAGGGTAGGCACTACCACCCTCTTTTTACAGATGAGGACATTGAACCTCCGAGAGATTAAGTGATTTGCTCAAGGTCACAAAGTTCATAGGCAGGGGAGCCAGGTTTGGAATCCAGGCAGAACTGAATCCCTACCACCATTCACTGCCACCTGTTATCTTCTTAAACCAAATAGAATCACATCATTTCTTTGCTTAAAATCTATGGCACCCCCACCCCTCCCCTCCATTGCCCAGAGAACACAACCTAAGCTTCTTAACATGACATTTCCAAGTCCACTTTTCAATGCATTTATTCATGTACTCATCATAAATCAATAAATAATAGCAAGCCCTAACATTTGTCACAAAGCAGTTTTATATACAACCTCCCCAAAACCATGTGACATAGGCAAGTGAGCAAACAGTTCGAAGCAGCTTCAATGGCTTGTCAAGAGGCAGGACGACATGCCTTGACTTTCCTCCCTTGTCTTCACAGTGCTCTGAGCTTCTCACCATGCCTTAAGTATGTCAAGTTTCGTCATCCCTCTCTGATTCTGCCACACTGTTTTTTTCTGGTGGGCACGCCTGGGAACACATACAAATCCTTCATGATTTCTGTGGCTCAACTGACCCACGTTTCTTTGGGCTTCCTCAACAACCCGTCATTCGTCTGCATGATCACACTGGCTACATTAGAGTAGATTCATTTGTTTGCTTGACTCTCTTTTGCAGTAGACTGTGCACCTCTCTAGAACAGGGATTATGGGTTGTGAGCATGGCCTTATCTAGGAAGCTAGGATAAACTAGTTATGGAGGATGGAATGGATAAAGAAAGACATGATTAATGGCAAAGGTGTGTTTCTACTGCTTCCAGGAGTTGTGCAATACTAAACCAATCATTATCAAGAATGAGGCATGGTAGTAGGGGCAGAGAGAAATGGTGGTGTGTTAGGTGTGTATGTACATATGTGTGTGTGTATGTGTGTGTGTAGAAAGAGAGGGGAAGGGAGTATGTATATAGTGGATATACATATATAGTTCCTCTCTATATATATAAAATGTTGGCACATGTACATAAAGTGTGTATATATAATATGTGCACATATATGTAGTGTGTATAAAGTATATAAGTACATATAGAGTACATACGTGTATAA